AATTAGTTAGATTGTGAAATTTTAAGATATATGATATTTTTTTTCTAAAAAAAAAAAAAAAAAGAGGTACTCAAATTGTTAATTGTTGTTTTATATATAAATTATTTTAATAACATTCGACTTTATCTAACTTGATTTTAATAGCAATATAGATATCATAAATATTCGAAAAATAGGATATTGACTTCCTATATCAAATTACAGTTTGAATGAGGATTTGTGCAGTTATTAACGTTTAAACAATAATATCCTTTTAACATAAAGTTGATAAATAAAATATTCATTATCGATATGAGATTATTTAAGCTTCATTTTATATATTATTTTCTTAAAAAATATTATTATTACTTAACTTACTTTTTTGACTTATTCAATATGTCAGTAATTATTCATTAAAAAAACTAGATGTTCTTTTCATTGACTAAAAATTTCATTCTAATACAAAGTGATGACTCTAAATTTCACACCTCTATCTATGTTGCCTATATAGCAATTTGTTAAAATTATCTTCCATATGGATAAATAAATAGATAGATTTTTCTTATTTACTATAAAATCAATATTATATTTTGATTTTAGTTAATTATTTATCATTTTTAATATTGTAAGATAAATTTGTAATTGAATGATGAGAAAAATACAATGCTATAAGAAATAGTTTTCTAGTATTTAACTATTTAATTTACAAATTTATTATTTTCATTCAATTTTAAATTCAGATGGTGAAAAGTATGCTCCCATAAATTTATTTAGGCTTAAATGTAAATATTAATTGATCAAACAATCCTAATGAATAATCGTGAATTTTTAATTAATCATTCACAACTGGAGTTGCTGACTTTTTAAGTATTCTTTTTTTCAAGTTTTATAACAATTTCATAGCTATAAACTAATACTATTAAATTCTTCATCCTATTTATACATTTAATATTTCTGCCTCTAATTTTATTTAAAGTAATTTTAATCTGCTTAAAAATATAACCAATGTTTTTATATTAGCAAATTGAAATTGTAAATATTTGTAAAATAGAATTTTTATTAGAAATATTTATATAAATTAACATTTGGTAATTATACATAAATATAAGAATGATGAAATTCAATTGTATGCAGATTAATGATATCTCCATTCTCCTTTAAAAATATTAATACTAAATAATTTTTATTTTCTTTTCCAAAATACATTTACTTTGAATTAATTATAAAGGGAAAAAGATACAAAAGTTGTTATCTCGTCATTCTAAATATTGAAATTTAGGAAAAGTGAAATGTTCTTTTTTAGTTTCTAGGATAAATTTAAAGGGTGTATGAAAGAACAAATGCTAAAATGTAGATTTGTTATAATAATAAAAAAGAATTTTACTCTGCCATCTAATAAATTAAATAAGCTGTATTATTTTCATTCGAAAAGTTTTAAATAACTGGATCTCAATCAATTGTCCTTCTATTAAATAAATAAAATTTGTTCATATATGATAATCTATGATGATGATTTATTTTCTAAAATTTATTTTTAAAGATTATTCTAGAATTAAATTTCCGAAGTAAAGTTATAGATTTCATAAATTACAATCAGTTTTTCTCTCAAGAAGAATCATTTGCTTTTTGTTGCGAATCGGGAACCATGATAATTAGAAGAAGCAATCCTCAAAAAAAAGGGATCAAAATCTATGTTTCTAAACTTTTTCTCAAAATATAGATAAATGATCGCTAACTTAATTCACAAAAACACAAAATAATTCAATTTTTTCCACAAAGATCCATGAGGAGTTTCCAAGAAATAAGGAATGAGATACAATCAAATAAGAATAATTAAAAAAGAAACGAGCAATAAAGGAATTATGTTTTACTTGCAATTAAAAAAATTTGTTTTTTTTTAAAATTTGTTTTTTTTTTAAATTTGATCTGCTTTCAGATAATCATTAAATAATAATAATTATGATTAAATATTTATTATAAATTAAATAATTAAATTGGCTAAATTTTAACTAATTAACTAGTTAAAAAATTTAAATAAAACTAAATTTTATAAAACAAACAATTTTATAAATTAAGTTATTTAAAGCTGAAACTCTTGTAGGATGTATTTTATTTTTAGATTATTTAAAAAATTTTGATAGAACTTGAATTTATTTGCAAAGTGAAATTAATAGCTTTATAAGAATGTTTTTTAAAATAGTTTAATTGTTTTTTGCAAATATTTCTTTTTTTTTAAATATCTCTAAAATAGTATATAATTTATTTATTTTAATCTTAATATAATTATTCTCTAATTTAGATAAATATTATTCAATTATTAAGTACTGAATAGATTAATTTGATTTAAGACTTTATTGATGTAATTATTTGCATAATAACATTATCAAGTTTTAGACAATTATGTATTTCATAAGATGATAGATAATATGTATTTATTGTATAAGATTTCGAAGATTAATTTAAGGTATATTTGAAATTAATAAAAAAACTGATTAATTTAAAACATTTAGAGAAGTTACTTAAAAATAATAAATTGATTTAAGAATTATTATTTTATAATTTATCTAATTTTATTTTGAAATATTGATGTTTAGAATTATTAGTTCTTAAATTTTTAATTTTGAAAAATTACTATATATTCTACCCAATATTTTAGGAAATAATTCAAAACTGATTATAAATGTATCAAAATATTATAAGTTGACTTATAAATCTTCTTTTTTATTTTATGAATGTCATCTTTTAGTTTTGGTATTCGACNTCAGTTTTTCTCTCAAGAAGAATCATTTGCTTTTTGTTGCGAATCGGGAACCATGATAATTAGAAGAAGCAATCCTCAAAAAAAAGGGATCAAAATCTATGTTTCTAAACTTTTTCTCAAAATATAGATAAATGATCGCTAACTTAATTCACAAAAACACAAAATAATTCAATTTTTTCCACAAAGATCCATGAGGAGTTTCCAAGAAATAAGGAATGAGATACAATCAAATAAGAATAATTAAAAAAGAAACGAGCAATAAAGGAATTATGTTTTACTTGCAATTAAAAAAATTTGTTTTTTTTTAAAATTTGTTTTTTTTTTAAATTTGATCTGCTTTCAGATAATCATTAAATAATAATAATTATGATTAAATATTTATTATAAATTAAATAATTAAATTGGCTAAATTTTAACTAATTAACTAGTTAAAAAATTTAAATAAAACTAAATTTTATAAAACAAACAATTTTATAAATTAAGTTATTTAAAGCTGAAACTCTTGTAGGATGTATTTTATTTTTAGATTATTTAAAAAATTTTGATAGAACTTGAATTTATTTGCAAAGTGAAATTAATAGCTTTATAAGAATGTTTTTTAAAATAGTTTAATTGTTTTTTGCAAATATTTCTTTTTTTTTAAATATCTCTAAAATAGTATATAATTTATTTATTTTAATCTTAATATAATTATTCTCTAATTTAGATAAATATTATTCAATTATTAAGTACTGAATAGATTAATTTGATTTAAGACTTTATTGATGTAATTATTTGCATAATAACATTATCAAGTTTTAGACAATTATGTATTTCATAAGATGATAGATAATATGTATTTATTGTATAAGATTTCGAAGATTAATTTAAGGTATATTTGAAATTAATAAAAAAACTGATTAATTTAAAACATTTAGAGAAGTTACTTAAAAATAATAAATTGATTTAAGAATTATTATTTTATAATTTATCTAATTTTATTTTGAAATATTGATGTTTAGAATTATTAGTTCTTAAATTTTTAATTTTGAAAAATTACTATATATTCTACCCAATATTTTAGGAAATAATTCAAAACTGATTATAAATGTATCAAAATATTATAAGTTGACTTATAAATCTTCTTTTTTATTTTATGAATGTCATCTTTTAGTTTTGGTATTCGACATTGAAGAAGTTTTGTTAAGATATTGCGAATCAAATAATTTATTTATTTTCTACCTAGAACTTGATGATTTAATTTTTACAGTTTAAATTTCCAATACTGAATAAAGTTTTAACTATAAAATTTTCTAATATTAATTTCTAATAACAATTAAAACATTTTCTCTTATAATTAAACTAATTAAGATGAATTTTATTTAGTTGTATAATCTCCAATAAGGTAAACTTCTTTGAAATTTGTACCCTGATTACTTTAAAAAATAAATTCCATTCTCAAAAGATTTGGTGTTGTTGTCATCTTAGAATTGATAAATTTCATTCATAATTTTTATTATTGTAAGATATAGCCCACCCTTTCCCAAAACTTCAAATTAATACCAATTGAGTTCTCTTATCTTCCATCATATTATGATAATACATTTTATAGGCCTTAAAAACTCTGCTTCAGTTTTATAATCGATGTATACATATCAAAATTTCTATATACCCGATTTTCTTGAATCTCTGGGCTCATACACTTAAAACTTAATTATCAACAACAGACAATTAGGGAGATACCTTTAGAAATATATAAGCCTCTTTTATTCTTAGATTATAATTATAACATTCTTGACCCATAAGTATTTAATTTTTGAAGCATTCGAATATACACTGATTATAAGCCTTTGGACCTAGGATCACATCAACAAAAACTTATATGGTAATCCACAACAAATAGGATTACATGGTAGGTCCACAAAGGAAATTTTTTTTTTAATTTCAAATTATTATATATTAATCTTAAGAAGTTAACATTTGATTCAAATTATCATCCAAGCAATCATTGGAGCTGACCTAAAAAGACTCTTGATGATTATTCTAAAAGATAAAAATAATAATGATGTCGATTAAATTACTTAAATAATTTTGATTTAAATTTAAAAATCAAATGTTGCTTATTTATTAAATTGAAAAAAAATTAATCTTTAGATTAATTTAAATCTCCCATCATTAAGAATTCTTATATAAATATTTTTAATGAAAAATTAATTTGTCATTTGCTTTTTAGCCATGGTCTTAACACAACAAGTTAAACACACAAATTAATGTAATGATTGTGGATAATTAAAATCACAGAATGATTGTGAATAAGAGACTACTGTAACTGGAGCTTGTGAATGGGTGGCGGCATCAGGAACAACTCCAGGAAAATGTTAGAAAAAAACAACTGTTGATCCAGTCACTTCATTCAAACCTTATTGTGAACTTATTGACAAACCAGAAACAAACTGTCCTAAAACATTTGGTTGTGCTTATGTTGATATGAAATGTACACATTTTACAGGATGTCAAGCATATGTTAAAACAACAACAACAGATTGCTAGGCAATATCCTATTTATGTGTTAGTGATGGAAATACTTGTATTCAAGCTAAAGAATGCAAAGAATATACATAATAATAATGCGAATCAACTCCTAGTGTTTCAGGAATACTTAAATGTAAATGGGATACAAATTAAGGAGCTTGTAGAGATTATGCATGTTCAGAGGCAGATGCTAGCTTAAATACTGATGAAAAATGTTCAGCTTGGTTAGCTGGTTGTGTGACAAAAGGTTAAGGTTGTGTTAATACACCAAGACCTGCATGTGCTACTTATACAGGAGATGATGTTGCATGTTAATCTTTTATTGGATCTGATGGAAATTGTGAATTAGCTACTGGTACTACAAATTGTAAGGCCAAGGAATGCGTTAATGCTCCAACAGCATTAAGCTCTGATGATGATTGTAAAGCCTATTAAAAAGGATGTATAACAACAGGAAAAGGGTGTGTTTTGGCAACAACAAAACCATTATGTTCTACATATTCAGGGGATAATACAACTTGTGTTGGATATATTGGATCAGATGGTGTTTGTGAAGGTGATGCTGGTGGTTCTAAATGTAGAGCAAGAAAATGTGAGAATGGCACATTCATTACTGATGAACTTTGTAAATAATACTAAAGTAGTTGTAAAACAAATGGTAAAACATGTGTTTCATCATTAACAGCTTGTAATACATATAAAGGTACTGCCACAACTTGTGCTGTATATATCGGTACTGATGGATATTGTAAAGGAACAAGTACAACAACTGAAGCTTCTTGCTTACCAAAGGTTTGCGATGAAGCTCCAGATACAACAACTACTGATGATGCTTGTAATAAATATTAAATTGGATGTGTTACTACAGGAAAAGGATGTGTTACAAAAACTAATTTGAAATCTTGTACTACTTATGATGGTGATGCTACTAGTTGTTAATCAAGAGTTGGATCTGAAGGTAAATGTACATGGAAGACTGGAACCAAATGCGTTGCTAGAGATTGTACTTAAGCAGCAACCAATTTAAATACTAATCCTCTTTGTGCCAATTTTTTCACAAATTGTGTTACTACTGGATCTGGATGTGTTTCATAAACTACTTGTGACTTGACTGTCAAATAATAAAGTTGTGAAGGTACTAATAATTGTTCATGGTAACCTATTTGTAGTAGTAATTCAAACTGTAGTGAATTTAAGAAAAAATCAATTTGTTTAGCAAATTAAGCTAGAGTAAGGACTTTTGATAAAAACGATGAAAATGGAAATCCATTATATATTTTTGTATCCAAAAAATGTGGTTGGCTAAACAATTCTTGTAAAGAATTGTCTTGCTCAGATTTAACAGGAGCTTATTATAATAATGATACTAATTGTGCAGCAGAATTATCAACATGCATTAGTAATAGAATTGATACTTGTATAACTAAATATGAATGTAGTAAACTTTCAGGAACATAATCCACTTGTTTAAGTTATCCAGGTTATTGTACTAATTCATCATCAGCTACGGATACTACTCCTTGTATATAAAGAAAGTGTTCAGATAATACAGAAGCAACTGATAATGCTACATGTGCTTCATTCTTACCTGGATGTATTAGTAATGGAAAAGGTTGTGTTGATTACACTACTCCATGTACATCGATGAAAGGAACTTAAGAAACATGTAATAAGATATTTGCTTATAAGACTGGATCTATTGATAACTTTACAACTAATTAATGTTACAATAGTTCAACAGCCACTGAAAATGATTATTGTAAAATCAAAACATGCAAATTAGCAGAAAATTAAAATGATGGTACATGTAGTTCATTTTTAGAAGGATGTGTTTATAATGGAAATGGAGGATGTGTTGATCCAAAAGCTAATGACACAACTTGTGCAAGTTATACAGGTGTTTTAGTATTTTGTGAATCTGCTATTGTTGGAAGTAATAGTTCTAAATATTGTTTTGGAACATCTACTGCAGCTACATGCACTGTTAGAGCTTGTACAGATAATACAACTGCAACAAAAGATGAAGATTGTGAGTCTTTCATGTCAGGATGTATTGCTAAATCTGATGGAGGTTGTATTAGTAGATAATCAAGATCATGTTCTTAATAATCAGGAACTGTTATTACTTGTCCTAATTTCAGTGGTGGCTTATAAGTTTCTTCAGTTTGGACGAAAATTGCATGCACAAAATATGATACTTGTTAAGATAGATTATGTTCTGACAAAAAAAATCCTTAATAAGCCTAGGATTGTCTTGATCACAAATCAACTTGTAGATTCTTTAAGGCTGGATCTGCATGTATTGATGCAACAGCTTGTAGTAGTTATAGTCTACCTGATACAGCAACTAATGATTAATAAAAGTTTGATTATTGTACAAGTATCAAAGATAATGTTGGGTTGTTATGTGGTTATACATAAGGAGCAACGAAGTGTTCAGCTAGAACTTGTGATTAATTCTTGAGCATTTATACAACATTATCATGCATTACTTATTTATAGAAGAACATTTCCACTTTAACTGAAGATACATGTAAATTAGCAGGAACAATTTGTTATTTACTAAATCCAGATTGTGAATACAGTTATGCTCCCACCGATAATAATGATTCTCTTAAATTAACTTAATGTAGAAAGTTTGTGAATGTTTACGGACATCAATGTACATTTAAAATAGGTGATACTAAATGTAGTTTATAAGATAGCTGTGAATAATTAATTGATTAAACAGATGCAAGAACCTGTAATACTTAAAAAAATTTTTAAGCTTTTGGACTATGTTAAAAAGCCACTAATTCAAATTGTCTAACCTTATCTAAGGATTGTTCTTCCTATAAATTTGATTCTACATTAACTACTATTTAAAAATAATAATTATGTTGGGGATTGTGGATTATTGTTGATCGAGAAAGATTGGCAACACCGTTAGCAGAATATAAGAAATGTGTGTTTAAAGCAGGTAGTTCATGTGATGCTATTACTAATTGCTCAGATATTTATTCTGCTTCAAGTTAAAGAGAATGTTAAGGATTTTAAAAAGGATGCTTATATTTTGGTGGTAAGTGTTATGCTGCTGTTTCTTCTGGCAATTGTCCCTCAACATTTCCAACTGGAATAACAACAGATTCTTAAAAATCTCTTTATTGTAGAAGTATCAAAGAAGCCAGTGATTATTGTAGAATAAAATCTGATAAAAGCAAATGCGAACTAGCAAATAATGCAGATTGTGCTAGTATTACAATTCCTACTTCAGGTAGTTGGGATTCCATTAGTGATCCAACTTCAAATGCATTCAAATCTTCTTATTGTCTAGCTCAATCATATAAAGATAGAAGTAAATTATGTAAATATACTTCTGGAAGTAACTGTAGTGATGCAACATGTGCAGATATTCCTTCACCAACTAGTTAAGGAGATTGTGATAATTACATATCTGGATGTATTTATTTTAATAATAAATGTTATCCACCAGGAATTGTTGAAAGCGATGGTGATTGTGCTGATAATGATAAAGTACCTATGGATTCAGAATTAACAGCAACATAAAAATTAGCATATTGTTAATTATATGCAAAATCTAATAGATCAATATTTTGTACATTTGATTAATTTAATCCTACTCCTCAAACCCAATGTGTTGTTGGTAATAATTGTAATGCCTATACAGAATTGCCAAATACTAATGATGCTGATAAATCAATATATTGTTTAAATAAAGTTAATAAAATTGGTAGGAGTTGTGCATTCACAGTAGGTGATACTACATGTAGAGAGTTTGATTGCTAAGATATAAAGAATCCAATTTCTTAAATAGATTGTGACTAAGGTTCATAAGGAGGTTTATGTGCTTATTAATAAGGTGTGTGTTATAATTGGAATGAAGATTGTTAAAATATCCTTGCTTTAAGTGGAAATGAGTAGATTTATTGTGAATCATTATAAACAAAAAATTATTGTACTTACATATCAGGAACAACATGCACAGATTTTAAAGAGTGTCATCTTTATAGTGTAACAGAAAATTAAGCCTCTATTTGTGCAAAATTGACAGATGGAACAGATAAATGTACTTACATTTCTGGTAATAATTGTGTCTTATTGGGTTCTTGTGAAAGTTATGATGGAACAGATACAGCAGAAAAGGGACCTGCAGAAGGTTAAGAAGAGATAGAATGTAAAGCAGTTAAATCAGTAGATGGCTATCCATGCATTATGGATTCTAGTAAAAAATGCAGAACTTAAGTTTGTACTGATAACGATGCAAGTGCTACAGATTGTATTAATAATGCACTTGATTGTCTCTATTATTCAAATAAATGCATAAAAAAAGACAGTTGTGCAAAATATACACCATAAGGTGATGATGATACATCTAAATAAATATGGTGTGAAGGAGTCTAAAATGATACAGGAGATTTTTGTGCTTGGGATTCAGTTAATTCAAAATGTAGAGATAGATCATGTAGTGATAAAGCATTTTATACTGATTTCGATTGTTAAAGTTATCATAAATCTTGTAAAACAAATGGAACTATTTGTATAGCATAAAGTAGAGCATGTACTTCAAATAATGGTTCAGATGATTTTTGTAATACCTTATTAGATTCAACAGGAAAAGATAGATGTAGACCTATTGCAACTGCTACTACTACATCTTCTCCATGCACCATTAGAACTTGTTATGACAACGTTACTGCAACAACTGATTCTGAATGTGATACTTATTTAAGTGGATGTGTAACTCGTGGTACAGGATGCATTCCAAATTCAGAACCATGTACATCATACAGAGGAACTAAATAATAATGTGAATTATTTAAAAAATATACTGGATTAGATGATAAGAAAAATCCTACTTATGAATATTGTTCTGGAGATGCTGGAAATATTGTCACAAGTAAATGTAAAGAAAGAACTTGTGCAGATAATACTACAGCTACATCTGATGCTGAATGTGCTACTTATATGAAAGGATGTATTACCAAAGGTACTGGATGTCTTGATGCAACTTCATCATGTACTGTATTTAAGGGAGATTAAGCAATATGTGCTAAATTCTTGGGCACTTCAGGTAGAGATTATTGTTGGAATACTTCAACTGCATTAGTTACAGCTAATTGTGCTAAAAAGAAGTGCAGTGATATTTCAGGAAAAAACAATAAAGAATGCAATGATGGTATGCCACCATTTAAAACTACTGATGATCCTTTCTGTGTTTTTGATGGAACTTCATGTATTGATTATGGAAAGAATTGTAATGCCTTCAATGGAACTGAAGAGACATGCCCTACTTATTTAGGTAAAGATGGTCCATGTAAAGCTACAACTGTTGGAACTCTTAAAGGATCATGTGCTAAGAGAGTATGTACAGAAGCACCTAATACTCTTACTACTGATGCTGATTGTTAGAAATATCATAAAGATTGTTATACAACTGGTTATGGATGCACAAATACTAAATAATGTTTTAATTTGACATCATAAGCTGCTTGTAAATTAAGAGAAGAATGCACTTGGGCTAATTAATGCACAAATGCTATTACTTCATGTTCTACTTAAAGTAACACTAATTATTCATAATGTACAAATTCTAAAGTGAATGGTAAATTTTGTGCATGGTAAGAATCTAATTCAACTTGTAGAGCTTAAGTATGCGAAGATCAACCAGCAACAATTACTTCTCATGCTTAATGTTAAAACTTTGCTGATACTTGTACAACAACTGGAGCTGGTTGTATCACTATTTCAGCCTGCACATTATACAAGACCCAATCTATCTGTATAGCTGCCTCAACTACTAAAGATGGAGTTGGAAGATGTGGTTGGGACGTCACAACAAATAAATGTAGAAATAGAATTTGCAATGATAGGAATGGTATAACTGATGAAGAATGTAACATTTTCTTATCAGGATGTAAAACAAATGGATCTGGTTGTGTGACTGGAGCCTCATGCACTGAATTTTCCAATAAATAATTCTGTATTAAATCCAACTCAGGACCATGTCTTTGGGTTAATGGATAATGTTATGATTATGACAGATGTGAAGATGCTTTAAAAAAGTCACATTCTGAATGCTAAGCATTTTCACCATTATGTACAACCAATGGAGACACATGCATTCCTATTACATCTTGTGCCAGCACATCATTAAAAGCTTCTTGTGTTGTCGGAACAGATGGATCTTGTGGATGGTTACCTACCGGAAAATGTTAGAAGTTCGGACTATGTACAGATGCTGTGGCTGCTACTAATGATGAATGTCTCTCTTATGGACCAACATGTATCACTGATGGAACAACATGTTTAGCTAAATCAACTTGTGGTAGCTACAAGACATAAACAGCATGTAATAATAATGGAACTGATGGTATATGCTTTTGGAATGCTACAACTAATATTTGCAAATTGAAGGAGTGTGGTGATGAATAAAAGGGTACTTATGATTAATGCAAGCTTATTTCTGTCACAGGAGGATTATGCACAACAGATGGAACCAAATGCATACCACTATCAACATGCTCAAATTATGTTGAAGCTGGATGTTTCAATGGAACTGATGGAGAATGTACATTTGCATTACCAATTGGAGCTACTACAGGAAACAAAATCTGCAGATTAAAATAATGTGAAGATATTTCTAATGGAACTTCAAATGCTAACTGTACTGGAGTTATCTCTGGAAAGTCATGTGTATCGAATGGAATAAATTGTATTTCCAAGTCTACTTGTTCAACTTATAAAACTATTACTGCTTGTAATGGGGGTGGCTTAGAAAATAATAAATCAATTGTTTGCGCTTTCACTCCTACTGGTACTGATAAAGTTAATGGAACTTGCAAGACATTCTCAGCATGCACTGATGCAAACAAAGATAAACTCGCTTGCACAACTAATCCATCATGTAAATGGACTGAAAACTCAACAGGAACATCCTGTGTTAATAATTAATGTGATACCTTTGCCATAGGAAGTGATTGTTAACCCATTCCAAGTTTTGATGGAACTTCATCCACAATTTGTGTTCTTTAAAGTGGAAAATGTACTGCTACTGATCCAGGAACAATCACAGATTCCAAAATTTGCTATTCTAAATCAGCTTACACTTACAGTTGGAATGCAGCAACAAATAAATGTGAAAGTTGCCTTTCAGGATCTGTCAATCCAAATAATTCAAATAATACAATAGATAATGGAGTAACTACTGAAAGTGCTTATTTATTGTCAGCAGTTTCATTAGGTATTTTAGGATTAATGGCATGATTTTTATTTTCATATTATGATACATGGGCAAATATATAATATTATAATTTATTATTATTTCTTAATATTTTTATTAGACAAATAGGAATGCCATTAAAAATTCTTTGGAATATTGCATAGGTTTCAATGATAAATGATTATCTAAATCCATAGGGATTTCTCAATACTAAAGTATAAATATTATTAACCATAATTATTTGTAAGTAGTATAAATATTCTATATTGAGAATGTAAAAAACACTGAAACATTATTATTTTTAGCTATAGAATTATGAATATAAGTATCCTTTATTTTTATATATAAACTTAAACTTAAACTTAAACTTAATAAAATAATATCTTAAAAATAGGTTATAATAAGGAATAGCATGGAGATACAATTTCACAACTTATCCTACCATTAAATAATTTAAATTATATGCATATTAACCCATTAAATTGAAAAAAAAATTTGGACAATTAAACTTTTCTAAATCTTTAAGTTAAAATACAGTAAATTCATATTAATCTACTATTTTAAAAAGAGGGAATGAACATTTATGAGATAAATCTATAATGTTTTGCTCTCAGCTAAGCACAGGGGATAGTTTTCATAATTTTTGAATGAAAATAATAATCTTCATTCTTGTAAAATGCATAATGAATATCATTCATAAATGAAACAATCTAGAATATCAAATAAAAGATTAGATGTAAAAAATACTTTTAATAGAAATTGTATCAAACTCATGGTTAAAAAATATTTCTTTAAAAGCTTATTTATAAAAGAATAATAAGTTGGCATTATCTGTATGTAATGCGAACTTATAAATACTTAATTATAACATTCAATAAGTTATAGCTTAATTTTTTAGTTCATTTAATTATAAAGGAATAATTACTGATGTAGATAAAATTTTACTCTTAATATATAATTTAAATATACCACAAGATTCTTTTGACAATTTAATAATATGAGCTTAAAATAGATTGGAAATAGAATAATTATTATTATTAATTTTTTTAACTAAAATTAATCTTAAGTAGATCAACCTGTTAAATAAAACTTAAGCTTCCTAAAAATTAAATTTTATCTATTATATGTGATAAAGAAAATTTTTAAATCCTAAAAGTTTTGAAAAATATAATTAATTTTATGTATAATTACTATCCAAAAATATTAGTAAAAAATTAAAAATAGCTTTTCAAATAATCATTTTTAACCAAGTAGTATCATCTTGAACAAATCATATATTGATAATTAAAATAGTTCAAGTTCAAGTTAATTTGCAATGGACTAGTGTTTAAACTATTTGCTTTAAAAAACGAAACATAGATTTTATTAAGATAAACTAAAAAGTAAAGAAATTAATGAATAAAAATAAATAAATAGAATAATTTGAACACAATATAAACAGTATAATATTAAATAATTAAAAAAAAATAAAACAAAAAGCAGAAATGAAATGAGGTATTTCTGAATATTTTAATTCGTTAATATTAGCCAACCTGTTTCATTTCTTTAAACTTCAGAAAATTTATCTTTACAAATATAAGGAACAGAAAAGTAAGAATTTTTAATTTTTGCTTTAGAAAATTCTCTAGCATATAAATCTAATATTTTAAATAACTTCTAGAAATAAGGTAAAAAATAATTTGAGACAATTTTTTTTTGTTTACAAATATGTATATATAATAATTTTTTAAATTAATCTCAAATTACAATTATATATCAAATATCAATTAAAATTTTTTTTGTACTATAAAATTTTGATTCTAGTTAGATAAAGGAAATTTTTGTTTAAAGATGATATTTAAGAATTTGACTTCAGTTGTTTTTATTTACAAGTAGATTTTTTAAGAAATTTACATCTTTTCATTCTTTTCAAGACTTTTCATTTCACTATCTTATAATTCAATTCCACACTTATATATGATCTAATCCTTCTGAAAAAACAGATTAGGTTCCTGNTAAAATGCATAATGAATATCATTCATAAATGAAACAATCTAGAATATCAAATAAAAGATTAGATGTAAAAAATACTTTTAATAGAAATTGTATCAAACTCATGGTTAAAAAATATTTCTTTAAAAGCTTATTTATAAAAGAATAATAAGTTGGCATTATCTGTATGTAATGCGAACTTATAAATACTTAATTATAACATTCAATAAGTTATAGCTTAATTTTTTAGTTCATTTAATTATAAAGGAATAATTACTGATGTAGATAAAATTTTACTCTTAATATATAATTTAAATATACCACAAGATTCTTTTGACAATTTAATAATATGAGCTTAAAATAGATTGGAAATAGAATAATTATTATTATTAATTTTTTTAACTAAAATTAATCTTAAGTAGATCAACCTGTTAAATAAAACTTAAGCTTCCTAAAAATTAAATTTTATCTATTATATGTGATAAAGAAAATTTTTAAATCCTAAAAGTTTTGAAAAATATAATTAATTTTATGTATAATTACTATCCAAAAATATTAGTAAAAAATTAAAAATAGCTTTTCAAATAATCATTTTTAACCAAGTAGTATCATCTTGAACAAATCATATATTGATAATTAAAATAGTTCAAGTTCAAGTTAATTTGCAATGGACTAGTGTTTAAACTATTTGCTTTAAAAAACGAAACATAGATTTTATTAAGATAAACTAAAAAGTAAAGAAATTAATGAATAAAAATAAATAAATAGAATAATTTGAACACAATATAAACAGTATAATATTAAATAATTAAAAAAAAATAAAACAAAAAGCAGAAATGAAATGAGGTATTTCTGAATATTTTAATTCGTTAATATTAGCCAACCTGTTTCATTTCTTTAAACTTCAGAAAATTTATCTTTACAAATATAAGGAACAGAAAAGTAAGAATTTTTAATTTTTGCTTTAGAAAATTCTCTAGCATATAAATCTAATATTTTAAATAACTTCTAGAAATAAGGTAAAAAATAATTTGAGACAATTTTTTTTTGTTTACAAATATGTATATATAATAATTTTTTAAATTAATCTCAAATTACAATTATATATCAAATATCAATTAAAATTTTTTTTGTACTATAAAATTTTGATTCTAGTTAGATAAAGGAAATTTTTGTTTAAAGATGATATTTAAGAATTTGACTTCAGTTGTTTTTATTTACAAGTAGATTTTTTAAGAAATTTACATCTTTTCATTCTTTTCAAGACTTTTCATTTCACTATCTTATAATTCAATTCCACACTTATATATGATCTAATCCTTCTGAAAAAACAGATTAGGTTCCTGAATCCTTTATTTAGGCTGAAGTTATTTATTTTAGGGGTCAAGATCTATACTTTTAGTATCTTTTAATATTTAAATATTGATTAGCAAATCAGCACCTTTTCCTTTGTTTCTTTCTTCTATACACCCTATTATCAAATACCCTTGAATTGATGTTTTATTAAACAGATGAAAATTTGTACTTAATTCTCGGATACTCTTTTCAGATCCATAATATATTCATTAATTTTTCTGACTCTATGAGTCTAAAATTGTCTCGATCCATTTGACTTTATTTAAAAGTATTTTCAATAAGGAATCTTCTTGATTTTCAAAGTATCAAATTAGATTGAATCTTAAATTTTCGAAACAATATCATCTCTATTGTTGACTCTTTGAATTAAAAAAAAATCATTAAAAAGTTCTTTTTAGGACATCATTAATGAAGTATTAAAAAAAGTAAAAATTTTCTAGAAAAATGCCTAGAGATTAATCTACGGGTAGATGAATCAGCAAGAGATTTTGAGTGTTCGAATTTTTTATCGTCATTGATATGACGCTGGTTTTTTAATATACTTTCTAAATAAATTTTTTTTTTTTTCATATTTTCATGTATGTATATTCTAGTTTTATTATTTCATTAAAATTTAAGAAAATTATAATATTGGTTTAATTTCCAATAATTCTTAATTATCCCTTGTTTTATTAATTTTAAGATTATATACTTCCTATATTAATTAATTTGTTGAAGTTTTTCTACATTCGAATAGTCTATCCGCTTATTAATATTCCTTTTATTCTGACCATATTCCTCTATCATGTATGGCTTTTGCTCTATATCAGTTTACCAATAAATCTGAGTTTTAATGTTAATGAACTAGACAAATTTTTGCATTATTATTAGTGTTAATCCATTTATGTATGTAATGCTTAAAAGAAATCAACTTTAAATTAATTTATTTTGAATACTTTAAAAATATATTTAATTTCCCTTTTAATCGAAATCCAATATCATAATATTTAAAAATTTTCTAAATTCAATTCATTTCTTTAAAACAATTTATATATTGAAATTATTAAAAAATTTACAATTTTCTGATCTATGATCTCAATTTATTAATTTTAGCAATGTGGAACGTTAATTATATATAGGTTTCACAAATAAATTTAAGAATTAGCCTCTCTAACCATCTAGGGATTAAAATTAAAATTAGAATCTAGAAACTATTTCGGCTAAAGGCAAGAATATTAATAAATCCAATTAAATTAATTGAATTCGCTTATGATAAATGAATAATATAATATCATGTTTTTAAAAACTACCTGAGTAATATCTCATCTATTATATATCTATATATACTTCTAAATTAAATTAACTTTTATGATAATCTTAAAATTATTTAAAATCAATATTAAACTGTTTATAATAAGCTTATTCATAAATAAAATCAATAATAAATTGATATATTTTTGATTTAATATAATCCTTTCTTATATTGTATTTCTAATAAAATTTCATAAAATTGAGATGATCTTTTTGATTAAAGTTTTAATGATAACGAATACATTGAAATTTTGTAATAAAATATGATATCAATTTTACTTACTAATTATATTCATATATGATTATATATTAGAATAGTTGTATAATTCAAAATCTACTCAATACCAAATGGACTCTCCTTTATAATAATTTTTTATTAGTCCATTATCTTCTAAAATAAATGAAGACAGACCACAATGACCAACTT